GCCTCAGTAACTCGAAGCTCTGCCATAGCTAGGCGACACTCCATGGCAACAGCGTACCTCGCCAGCTATTCGCAAAATAACAACGTCAATATATCATATATAAGTTGAAGACCAAAAAACAAAGGAAGAACGTAAAAGCACCTCTGAAACAGAAGAAGCAAAATTCGATTCCGTGGCTACATCTTCTAAAACGGGATAGTGTTTCCCCGCATCGCACAAACTGTCATACGTTATGACACCACCAGCCAAAATTCCACCTTTGTTGGCTCTTGAAGACTCCCCCTGATGCTTCAGGGTTCCCCTACCACCTACTGAGCTTTTTCCCTTGGCATCTCTGCCTCTCCCCTCAGAACGGCCCTTCCCAGTAGGTGAATCTCCTGATCCTCTCACCCAGGAACGAGTTCTCTTCGCGTGGTCATGACGAACTCTTGACCGTCCATGCGGGGGATAATCTGGTCTCTCACGAATTGACACCCTGACATACGAGTGAGGCACTGCTGGCACTTATCTATTCCTCATACACCTCTGAAAGTGCGATTAATCTGCAAGAAAGGATTACAGTTAGAAAATATGGTAACAAAAAGGGAAGTACTATAAAGAATTACGTACCTTTATCATAAACAGCAAGAAGCAAGCTTGCTCGAGCCCCAGGAGTACTTATATCAATGGGTTTCTCCTGGAGAAGTCGTTCCTGTTGTAAAGCGATTTCTCCCTCAATCACGGGATCCTAAAATCCTCCTGTAACACCTTCACTTCAGTTAGCCGGAACCGCAATACCTCCGGACGTAAAATCACTAGGTGGAGCAAGAAAATAAAAGAATTATGTCTCCCACGATCCCTTCGGATGGCTCAGCGAAGTGCAAAGGTTATTGGCTGACTTCCGTTTGTGCAGTTCCCAAGCCACTCGATCATGACGAAAGAAAAAAACAAGCATAAATCAACTCAGGGGATGGTGGAACCCCAACTCGACGACATGACAGGATAAAACAAGCGATGAAAGTCCAAAAACGAGGACTAACATAATCGATTGAAAGCTTACTACGGTGCATTACTACACACAACCATGTAGGCAGGGACAATCGAAACCCATACTCCAGAGAAGAACGAAAAAGTGATCGCCATGATGATGGGTGACTTACATACGAAACAAATCTGTTGGGTGTGGCATAGCTCCAGTGATGAGGCATACCATACGACACCAACAGTTCTCGCAACCACTTTTCACTTTGCGTAAAACCACGTCCCAGGCCACCCGATCTTAACCGATAAAATTTTAAAATATTAAACCCAGGAATCTATTCCGAAGGCGGATTCGAGGCAAACATGTCGCCATTGCAAGATCAAATTCGAGTTCCTATGCCTCTGGACGCGCACACAAAAGAGGTAAATCCGCGTGATTGGGGTGGAACATATGGGCATGAATCACTACCAATAGACACTGCAAAATCATTTCTACCATCATCGAGATGCTGTAGAGTCGATCACTTTGATCCGTAGGTGGCTGGCATCGAAACACCAAATTCGAAATCAAAAATTCTGGGTGGGTTGTTCCCAAACGCCAGCGTTGGCGGGAAGGAACGGGGAGTTTGCTCGATGGGAGGTGACGATTTGAGACATAGGACCATTTCAGAAAGTCGATTGGGCATATGGCTAAACTTCTGGAAGCAATGAATTGGTATGGGAATCCTTAGATCGAAAAGCCACAATTATGCTTCTCAAGAACACTGTTTCCGTTTTGCATAAATTGGAGTTGAAACAACCTTCTTTTGATCCGATTTGGGAGTAGTTCTGTACCGACTTGGAGAAGCGGAAGGCACCAACTTTGAGGAAAAAGATTTTTGAAGAGTGGGAGCCTGATACAACCCTGGATTGCCTCATGTCCAAGATAGAGTTACTTTTCCAAGAAGCTCACCCAACTCATTTGAACAATCTGAATTTTTGACTAAGCATACTGACGAGTTCGGGTAGCCTACTTTTGGAGCTTGGTTCTTCCAATTGGGTTAGTGGAAATATGAGTTTGAGGTGTTGTTTTAAATCTGGAGTTTTCCTCTACAAGCTGGGATGGCTGGAAGTTCGAGGGGAAGCTTAGAAGACCATTTACAAGGCTCAACAAAATGCTTCTTCAACACTGGAAAACTGGCAGAATTTGTCTAAGTATAAAACTGATTTCAGAGAGGCTACTTTGAAGCTCTATTCCAGGACGATGATTTGGAATCAAGGAAGGAGCTTCATACTACATCAAAGTATGTATGTTTTTCAATAGAGGCAAGGCATTGGCTGAGGAAATGGAGACCTGGAAGATTTTTAACGAGGAGCCTAAAGATGCTAGGAAACCTATTTTGGGAGGCAGCTTACTTGAGCTAGAAGAAAGGCTTGTTTGGACGAGTTTGGGATTCCTTTTCCAGTTTGGATTCTTACCTTAATTGTATAGTATAGTTTAATTATGTTTCCTTGTTCGTTTTTTAATTGAATTAGGTTTAAGTTTGTCTATTTAAGGCTAGAAACTCCATTGTAATACTTAGACGTTGTTAATCAAATAACCTTTGTTCGTTGAGTGTTTATGCTCGTGAATTGTCCTTGTTACGTGGATTTCTTTCGAATGACGAGCGAGCTCAGTATCGATTTAGTTACCACCTCAATCGTGGACTCGTGGTCGAGTTGCAACTTTGTTTGGATAGAGCCTCTTACCCAAATTGTGTGTTGAAGTTGCACCCTCAAATCCGCCTTTACCCTATTCTTCCTTGTTCTTTTCGTTTTACATTTAACAAGCTTGAGTTTTGAGAAATTGCGAACTATGCTTAACAAGCTTTGTGGGTTGGAGCTTATCAGTCGACGTTGTCGGAGAGGCAACGGATGATGACTGCGGAAGCTCAAAACCCTAGACAATATCGAGTTTCGCTCTAATACCATGTAGAATTTAATGATGTGGAAAGAAAGGAACACGAGACACGGGATTTTACGTGGTATTCTCGTTCTTGATTGAACGAGACTAATCAACGGTGAGCTCGAAAGAGCTCACGACTGACGATTTTATTAGAGGGCTATATTTGTGCCAGCTTGCTTACGACAATCTCGTAGCTAAGCTTATATAGAGATAGACGTAGGGTTAAAACTCTAATGACAACCAAGTTTCCTTCTTTTATGAGGACAAGAAAACGAGAGACTTGTAGGACAAATAGGACACATAATTAATTACTTGACGACTAAATTATTAATATCTGCAACAGAGAGCTAGAGAGACAGCGTCAGCGAGGCGAAGTACAACATAGCAGGCAGATTGCGCACTCTGAACATATTTGGGCTGAAGTTACTGAAGTGGGCTGGATGGGCTTGTGGTCCGGTTAAGTCAGCCAACAAATTGAATTCATGATTCTGCATTATATATATCATTTTGTAGATGGACTGCCCTAGCGGGGAAGGTCGAAGACAGAGCATGAAGGCAGTTACCGGAAGAATCAGGCCAAGAAAACCCACGGAGTTACCTTCAATAACTCAAAATTTTCCCTGAAGAAGTTCAAAATTTTATTTATTTTGATTTCCACCATAATTACATCTCTCTAATTCTGATGATATACATTCCAAATCGATCCAAAATCACCAGATTTCCTCTGCTTCCTAAATCCACCGGAGTAAAGAAGAAATATGTACAAGTCATCTCATCTCTATTCTAAACCAGAAACACTAATTGAAACTGAATTGGCATGATCTTTGACTCCGCATTCTATCTCCCCAGGAGAAGCTGTATCTCTGTTTCCTCTGGCGCATGCTCTGCAACTCGTCCATTTGAGTCTCCCACCTCTGTTTCCACTCGCCTTGCGGATCCATCCCCTGTTTTAGTCAATTAACCACAAATTTAGTCTCCCTTTCATCCCGTGAGGTGTGGCCAATATATATATACACACGAAACAATAGCTTCAGAAGTTACCTTGTGGAATTGCTTTCGAGCAGAGAAGGCCAGGTGGAATCCAGAGGCCAACTCTCTGTCATACTGAGCTCGGCTCTCAGGATCCGACAACGTCTCGTAGGCCTCCTGGACCTCAAGAAATCGTCTCGTGTACTCCTCTGCTTTCTCCGGCGGGGAAACGTCCGGATGGTACTTCCGAGCGAGCTGCCGGTACGCTTGCTTGATCTCCGGCAGCGTTCCGCTCGCTGGAATCCCCAGCAAGTCGTAGAAGCTCTCCGTGCTGACGCAGAGACTGCTCCCGGCGGCGGCTGCTGTTTGAACGGGTCTGACGGACCTGCTGGAACGGGGAGATTGGAGCGCGATATTTGAACTGAAGCTAATTTGGCCGGAATTGCGAGTAGGGTGGCTCAAGGAGGGTGGTACCGCCGAGCGGAAGCGGCCGGCGTCGAACAGGGGTCCGGCGGAGACGTCGATTGCGTGGCTCATTTTGTTATTTGATATTCTTCTTATTGAACTGCTGATTTGGTCTTTGGAGCTATGATTGTTGTGAGTGTTTGCGTGTTGGTTGACGAGGATGAAAGAGGCGAAGAAGGTGATCCATTTATAGATAGATAGCTGGTCGGCAGGTTGGGAGGTAGGTACTTATCGCCAAATACATCTCTTTTGTTTTTTTAGGTCATTGCCAAATACGTCTTCGATTAAGGAAATGGAGAGAGAGGATATCCGCGTAAATTAAATTCAAGACTTACTTTTCTTTGCCTTTTCGGTTTAGTCGAATTTCATATCGACAAAATTCGGAAAATATATGATTCGTAACCAATATTGTATCTTATTTTTTCACCAAAAAGAAAACATTATATCTTATTTGTTTGAAATTGGAAAGTTTTTGTAAAAATTTTAAAGTTAAATATATTGACTTTAGAATACCTCTTATAAAATCGCAACGACATTTCTCAAAGTAAATCAGTATGGAATAAATCAAACAAAACAATATCTTAATCATTGAAATGTTAAAAATGCTTTATGTAAAAAAAAAAAAAAACGAAATAAGTTACCTTCATAACTCTTTTGAGAGCGGTAGGTCATTATTGTAAAAACTTGTGGCTAATTGTGAGCAGGGATTTGGATGCTAAACTTATGAGCGAAGGGCACAATTTCGTGTCTGAAGAACTTCAGGGAGCCGGCAGGAGAATTTCTGCAAATTCTCTTGAATGTGAAGCCAAGGAGAAGAATAAATGCAGGGTTTACCGGGAAATCTTGCAAAGTTTTGATCAGTCGCACGTGAGGACTGAGGCCCTTGATGATTTGAAAACCAAGATTTTGAGGTAGTTTTGTTCTCTTGCAGAATGATCATAATTGATAAATGCTGTCTCTTATTATAGGCTTATTGGGAGCTAATGTGACTATTATTTGTGTTATAAGGAGTCAAGTTGTTCTTGCTTGACTCAGACCATCTAGGATTCAGAAAAAGATACTAGTGTCATTCTCATGCTGTTTTGACGCTAAAGTCTGTTTCATTTTCAATCCGACTTGCAGCTACACACCTGGAAGATGGGTTGAAAACTCTAGGGGGATGAAATCTAGCAACTATAACGTTCCAGAGACAACAACATTGTTGCTGGTTGGTCCAAAAGGATGTGGAAAGAGCAGCCTTGTTAATCGGATTTCAAAGGTGTTTGAAAAGGGCAAGTTTGCTTCTGAAAGAGCGCAAGTATCATGTATGTGTTGCTGCATTTTTTTTCTCCCTCCTTTTTCACGTCACTCTGCAGATTACCCTGCTGCATCAATGGTTAAGTCGTTCAATTTGGTCTTGAATTGATTGTGGGTGTTATTCTCTTGGTTTCAGATAATCTGTTGGTTGGAGATGGAACATACTTCCTTCAGGAGTATATGGTTCCTAGAGATTCAAGTTCAGTTTGTCTTTATGACACCCGTGGCTTGTCAGATAACACATCTGAAAACATTGAGATGCTCAAGCAGTTGATGACTAAAGGTGTTCGGAACGGGGGGCTGATACTCAGGTCTAAACTCTTCATTGTTTCAATTACTATTTGTTTCTTGCTGGTTTTGGAAATTCCATCAACTCAATAAATTTTTTGAAATTCCTGCCCGATATCTCTTAATTGGTTTTACACCCAGGCCATCAGACAGTGCAAGTTTAATAAAAAGAATGAAGTGCAAAGCTCGCCAGAGTGGTTGCCGGTCCAGAGAAAAGAGGAAGGTAAACTTTGTAATATTTGTCATCAATGGGCTTGAAATTCTGAAAGCAATGGAGACAAATTGTGAGCGAGGCACCAAATACACCCAAATGATTGCTACAACATTCAACTGTCCCTACTTGTCATTTAAAGGTACTGAAACTGCACGAAAATCTTGTTTCTCAAATCTCAATCATAGCCTTGTTGTTAGAGCTGGGGGAAGAGTTTGGTGGTGGTCAAGGATTTACTTAAGCATGCAGAAACGTTTTACAAGAAACCACCAGTTACTTTTTGCATCTTCTGTCAATTTTTCATCTTTAGTTCTTTTTGCAATTAGGAGTCAGAAATTATTTGGTCATGCCTCTGTGCTGCTTGTCTTCCCCGTTTGGCAGATGATAAACCCATCGTCGTTGTTACTCATGGTGATCTGATTTCACTTGCTGACCGTGCCCGCATCCGTGTCCATCTGGGAGACCTTTTGGGTGTTCCACCTGCAACACAGGTTTTTGACATTCCAGGTGATCATCTCTTCTACTGAATTTTTGTTTGTTTGAGATTTCGCTTAATAAACAGTGTAAGGTTAACTTTTTATTTAGCCCAGACACACCACTTGACCAATTTGCATTCTGCCTTGCAGAAAGCTATGATCCAGCAACTGAGTTGGCAATTGCTGAAATGCTGGTCTATGCACTTGAGCATGCTGACAAGCACATGCCTCTCAGTCGTCGGGGCTCACTATCTGAACAGGTTTCTTATCCTATTCATGCCTAGTCTTTGAAGGGCATTTCATGACCGAACTTGCTTGCTGGCTTTCTAGATTTCTGGTGAAACGTTCAGCAGCTGGTTTTCTTATTTCATACCTCATCCTGACCTTTAAACCTCCTTTCTTTGTTCACATTGCAGACTCGTGTTCCGGCCGCTGTAATTTGGGCATGTCTGATTATACTCATTGGCATGTTATTGACCTACATGATTCACATTCGTCTAAAATGCAGCCGTAAATCAAAAATTCATGTAGATTGGGCTTCCATCAGGCACCTTTGGTTAGACTAGCAGTTGTCTGTGCGGAACTGTTGCGTTTCTGTGTTCATTGTTTAGTTATGTTGAACTGTCGTGAACTTGTACATAATCCTCGGACATCTGAAGGCTAAAGTTTTATGCTTTCTGGACCTTACCAGCGGAATTCCTAATGATGCTGGATTGTTCAACTAGGTGAATAAAGACATGTTTTGTAATAAAATAATTTTTGAAATAAAAAGTGGATGGTGGATTCCGACAACTTATCTAACATGTGGATTATGAGATTAATTCATGGTAATGGCAATGTTCAATCATATGTATCAATGATAAAGATGGTATATAGCCTTAAAATTGGAAAATGACTTTATCTTCACAGTTTTCGTATTCTACCTCAATCACATCTTTCCAATACGATTTTGCAAATTACCTGCCATGCTGTGGATTCTATACATAAACTATCTTTCATGGATATTACGTGCGGAAAAATACATTATTTTGGTATCAAATACTTTTTTTTAATAGCTCACTTGTATTACCAAGAAAAGATGGCTAATTATCATAAATGGTCACAAAACTATTCACTTTGTACAAAACGGTAACAAATCTTTGATTTTGCACGTTTCGGTAACATATGTATGAACTAATAACAAAATGGTAATTCCGTCCATCTCCATCCAAAAATCCGTTAGTTTACTCCAGTGAGCACGCCATGTCATCAACAAATAATAATAAAAAAATCAATAAACCAAACCAAACTCAACCCACTCTAAAATTATACCCAATAAAAATACAAACCCAATGCGAGCGAGACCGTGAGCAGCCACAATGGCAACTATCTCCAAAACAAGCCCCACTACTTTCCCATGGTTACTCTTCTTACAAGAACTAGCACACGATTTCAATGGCAAGACTAGAATTCAACCCCATGTATTGGTATCGAGTGGACCAAGTCGCCGACCATAGCAATAGCATACAAACAAGTACTGAAGTAGAAACATTTGGAATTAGCATTAGCCTGGACATTGGTGTGCTGGGAATTTACCTTCAAGCCGGCGTCCAAGCAAAAGCTGCAGCGGGTGAGGCAAGTGGAGTCGAACGGGGTGACAGGGGCGACCCGTTGGATCCAATCGGCGGTGGAGATGACTCCGATGCAGCTGGAAGCGTTGGAGACTAACTAATTGGAGTCGTTGAAGCAGAGAGGGACAAAAGATGGGTCGATTGATATGGCGGCGAGGTGTGTTCGGATGTCGGGGAGGCAAGCGGCAGAGGAGTTGGCGTCGGGGAGCTGGAAGAGGGAGGTCTCACCCCTGAAATTATGCCTCCCCCTCTCTCCCACCTGCATTCCCTCGATTATCACCCGTCGCTACAGCGATGACGACCCACTGCTGGCACCCGAAGCGCCGGACTTGGGAGAATCTAGGCCCATGTCGAATTCAGGGGAATTGGGGTCGGAGCCCCGAGCTGGGGATCGCGATTCTTCTTCTTCTTCGAGCTTTAGGGGCAGGGGAAGCAGTGCCCTTGAATCTCCCTCACGCGCTTGAATCCCTCACGGAGTCACGGTCTCGCTCAGCGATGGGAGGCGGAGGAGATAGTAGCCATCACGGCTGCTTGCCGCAATCTGTCGAAGTTTTTTTGCTCACGGTCTCGCTCGGATTAGGTTTGTATTTTCATTGGGTATAATTTTCGGGTCGGATTGAATTTGGTTTGATTGGGTATAATTTGATTTCATTTATTAATTTTTTATTATTATTTGTTGATGACATGGCGTGCTGACTCAAGCAAACTAACGGATTTTTGGATGGAGATAGACGGAATTACCTTTTTGTTATTAGTCTAAACAAATGTTACTGAAACGTACAAAATTAAAGGTTTATGACCGTTTTGTACAAAATGAATAGTTTTGTGACTATTTATGATAATTACCCAAGAAAAGATAGATATCACAGTCTAAACACCAAACCAAAACCAATATCTAAGATCAAAACCATCAACACTCGCAGGATACAAAGAAAGGGCCCACCTGGCCACCTCATGGACCACCCGATTGTTATCCCTGCCTATAAACTTGATCGTCAAAGCTTGATACTGACGCCAGAGCATGCGTATTTCTTCCAGGATGCGACCTCCACGAGCATCTTGCGAATCTTGTCAATGACGTTCTTAGCATCACCCTGGAACGAGACCTCAACGAAACCCCTCAGAGAGCACCACTGCATCGCATCCCGGAAAGCCACCAACTCCACCGAGAAAAGATCCTGCAAACCTGCATACAAAAAACCTTTGGCACACAACAAATTATTGGACGCATCCAACACCACCAACCCACCAGCAGCATGTGATCCACGCAAAACAGCCTCATCCACAAAGCACCTAAACGACAAAGAAGGCCCAACCGGCGCGGGCGGATTCAGCTGCCCAGCTTGTTGTATCGGCGACGGTCTCGGCAAGCTCAACCATTCACGCACCTGCTCCGCATACTGCCTAACAAGAACATATTTTGTAATCAAATCCCGACTATCAAATTGCATCCTCAATTAATCTCAATTCCAATTTTAAATAGATTTGGTATTTAAATCGCAATCCCAAAATATTTTGGTAGATCAATCGATATTTCGAATACGAAACTAATCACATTTGCAATTAATAATCAAATATATAAATTAAAAATTAATGGTAAGAACATCCCTAATCCCAAATATTTTATGTATTGTAGACTTGTAAATTTTATTTCGTGATTGAAAATTTTGGTTATGAGAATTTGAGGTGAGAAAAGTCTAATGAAAACTAATTAAAGTCATCATTGATTGGATTCAATCAAGTCTCCATTAAACTGATTCACTATAAGTTCCCATTTATCTCAAAGAGACTAGGCTAAAGATCTTGAGTTTGTCTAGAGCTATGAAATGGATAAGGAGAAGAAAGGAGATGGTGATATGTGAATTTCTTTTCATTGATAATCTTTGATTCAATAGATTGGAGGTTGAGAGACGATAAATTTCTTTTCATTGATAATCTTTGATTCAATAGATTGGAGGTTGAGAGACGATAAATGAGAGTGTCTGATTTTTGGCGCCATGAAATTAACAAGAGATTGAGTGAAAGATGAGAGTGATTTAAATTTGAAACCCAAAATTGCATTTGATTGGGGCTTGTAAGTTGTTAAAGATTGAGGATTGGAAGCACCAAAATATGTGTGCATGCTATATTTTATTAATTTATAATTTTAATTGTTTCTTATTTATTTTGAGGTATATCGATCTCAATCTCATAATTTTAATACCAAATATGATAGAGACTCGGCCTTTGGAATTTATTATTATTATTATTAATAGTAGAATAATTATTGTTAGTGTTAGTAGTGTTGTAGTACTGTTGGGTTATTTATGAGGCTTATTCCAGTATTTCATATATATATATATATATGGTAATGACTGGTGTACGTCAGGCGTATAGTATACAGCAGGTGATCTAACCGTTAGATGTACTTAGATGAGCTCCAGCCGATCTCAACGGTCAATTTTTGTTTTTCATTAAATCAAATTTCGGGTTGGGGTTTAGAAAATTGGTGCCTAGAATTTATCCATTAGAGGTTAGGGTATAGTATCATACCCCAAACTAGATAAGGGTATATATATGGAGACGACTGGTATTCTCTAGGAGCATAGTATGCTCCAGATGATCTGACCGTTAGATTTTCATGGATTAGCTCCGGCCAATCTCAATGGAAAACTCTTCTTTTCTCTTAAATTGAACTTTCGGGTTTGGGATTAGAAAATTGGGGTCTGGGGTTTATCCATTTGAGGTTAGGGTATAGTGTCATACCCCAAACTCGGTTTAATTCATGGTCTAGATAGAGATATCTCACTATGAGTACATGGAGCATAGTATGCTCCAGGAGCACACGAGTCTGATATATATATGGTGACTACTTCGGTGCACTCACAAAAATGAGTGCGTTCAATGCACCCAACTCAAAAACTAATCTTAAGGTGTTGGATATTGAATTATTATTTGTAGAATTAGTGTAATATGATGATATAACATATGATAACAACTAATTATGGATTACCCTAAGCCATATACCTCCAATTTTGAGTTCTATTCCTAAACCCCAAATTTTAAACTCTAAATCTCTAAACTCTAAAACCTTCAAATTAAAGTAAATCTTTAATGGTTTTTGTACAAATTCAAGTGTTATATTGATCATCACATCATAAGTGATGATTGACATCATTTTGACATGAATCGCATGTTTAAAATGACAGTTATGAAGCGAGTGCACTGAATGCACCCAAAAAAGAGAGTGCACCGAAAATGCCACCATATATCGCCGCGGCTCTTCTTCCCATTATCCTCCCAAGCCCACTGCGGCTCTTCCTCAATAGTGGCCGCTTCAGCTACATACCTTGTTGAATCGAGCTCGCTTCACCATAAATCAAGCTCCCTTCACCATAAAAATGAAAGAAAAGGAGGCAGAAGGAACAGAGCCGGGGATGATTTTCTCTAAGGCAACTGGATCTTGAGACTTCCAACTAGTGGTGCGTTTTGCTCCAACGGATACAAAGGATCTTCCCAATCATACTCATTCAACCTCAGGTAACACAACTAGGGACACAATCGAATAACCTTTAGTTGTCTCCGACGAGAAATTATCCCCAACGCTAGTTGCTAGATCTCCTCGAGCTTCTCCTTCGACTCTCGAATCACCCCGAGGATCTCATCCTTGGCTACTGCCATCGAATTCTCCTTTAGCTGCACAAACAACTTGAGCTCATCCTTAGAGGAGTAGCAGTTGTGGAGGAGGTGGTGGAAAGGGATGGGAGACGATTTGAGGCGGTGGATCTGGGCGGCGATTGGGAGACTGGTTATGAAGGGGGAAGGGGGAAGAATAGTGTGCTCTTATGGCTCTAAGGGAGAAAGGTCACAAGTTGGGGGCTGACATTTTTTTCTCATTTTATTAATTATTTGATATTATTTAAATAGAAAATTGAAAATAATGGTATAATTGCCATGTAGGATGCCAACTCAACATCATGATGCTTTGTCAGCATTACTAATGAAAACGTTGACGGGAAGTTGACGTTTGGATTATTTTTAGTAACTCAATTGGTTTAACTCAATGCAGTCTAAATCGCGTGTTAAAACTTAAAAACTTACGGTTTTACGCTTCTAGGTCATCAAAACGCTTTTGTTTCCATGCAAAAAGTATAGTGTATAAAATCGGACTAAGTTGCCTGTTAAAGTTTAAAAACTTACG